TATTTGTTAGAATGATTCTACCGAACAATCAGACGAATACAGTACATTATAACATATATAACTTGTCAAACAGACGAATGCAGTTAAAACCAATGCAATTCTCAGGACAGCCCAGTGCCATCCGCTACACTTACATTTTCAGAATCAGCATACTCCAAATACAAACATGTGTCAAAATCATCCAAATTAGTCTATTGGTTCAAAAGATAGATCGAAGTCCTTTGTGACCAAATGAAGCATGGCTTTTCTGCCCAAAACCAGTTCCACAGAGTCTTCTATCCTGGAGATAATTGGGAAGTAATCCAATTATCTCCAAGGACAGAGGCAAAACTCCATTAAGCACAGGGCAGTAAAAAGACAGTAAAATACAATAAAATACACAAGGTTACATTTATTACATAAAATACAGACATGCAACATATCCACAGATAGCTTAGGTCTGAGCACACATTATTACTGAATGGCGCTCAGACCACACACATACAGTTCAACTGCCATGGAGCCAAAGTCTTTCCCATAGTCTTTCATTATACGAATGGGCTCCATGGCATAGCTATCTGGGGTATCACCGATCAAACAGGGCAAGCACAGAATGATCCAGCTTTCATGTCTTTGCAGGGGAAAATCAAGCGTTTCAACAAGTAAAGGCAGCCTAAAGGCAGCAGGCGGGCAACCAGGCTCCTCCAATGCACAGTGGCGAGATTGGTCTCATCATATCTCTCCCCTTTTCCAAACAGACTAACAGGGTATCTGACCTCCTGCTGGTCAGTGCCCTGGTTAGTCCAGCAGCCCACCCACAAAACACAATCAGCAGTACAGCTCACCCACAATAACTGGTTACTACACCTGGGTAGAGGAGAAACTTGTCCATGTCGAGGTGCCTCACCACGGCTGTGCTGGGTACTGGTAAGCTGCCTTGGTGGGTTGCTGAGTGGAAAGAGACCAGCGGTAATCTGCCCTGGTGCCAGCGCTACCACGGAAGTAGCCTGGTTGGAGCCTGGTTGTTGGAGGGGAGACCGACTGTCTCATCTTTGGATACACAGCTCTGCTGCTGGAGGGGGAGACCGACTGTCTCCCCTTTGGATACACAGCTCTGCTGCTGGAGGGGGAGACCGACTGTCTCCCCTTCGGCTAAACAGCCCTGTTGCTGGAGTACAGGACCGACAGTCTCTGCCGCTGGGGAATGGAGACTGGGCTCCCAATTCCCTGTACATTGCTCTGCCGCTGGGGAATGGAGACTGGGCTCCCAATTCCCTGCAATTCACTCTGCCGCTGGAGGACAGGACCAGTTGTCTCTGCCCCCTGTAACTCAGCCTGCCGCTGGGGAATGGAGACTAGGCTCCCAATTCCTAATAAATCACTCTGCCGCTGGGGAGTGGAGACTGGGCTCCCTATTCCCTGCAGATCACACTGCCGCAGGGGAATGGAGACTGGGCTCCCAATTCCCTGCATATCACACTGTCGCTGGGGAATGGAGACTGGGCTCCCAATTCCCTGCATATCACACTACCGCTGGGGATCTGAGCCAACCGCCCAGCATCCCTGTAGCTCACCCTGCCACTGGGAAGGGAGGACGCTGCTCTCCTCTCCCTGCAAGGTACACTGCCGCTGGGGAGGGGAGACAATGCTCTCCACTCCCTGTACTTCACACTGCCGCTGGGGAAAGGAGACACGGCTCCTAATTCCCTGCATATCACACTGCCGATGGGGATCTGAGCGGATCGCCCAGCATCCCTGTAGCTCACCCTGCCACTGGGAAGGGAGGACACTGCTCTCCTCTCCCTGCAAGGTACACTGCCGCTGGGGAGGGGAGACGATGCTCTCCACTCCCCGCACTTCACACTGCCGCTGGGGAAAGGAGACACAGGAAAGGAGACACCCTGCAAATCAATCTGCCGCTGGGGATCTGGGCTGGCCACCCAGCATCCCAGTCGGGCCGGCGAAGAGACCTCGGTCCCATCTCCACCTGCCGCCTGGGGTTCCTCCCAGTAAATCTCTACAATATCTGATCCAAAAGTTAGTCATAAGAAAAAATAGTATGAGCCTTTTCATTTAATGCCATGTAGGTGCCAGAGTGTTGTGGTGTATAGGTAGCAGTTTGAATGCGTTGACTGTATCTGTTTTGCTTAGCCATGTTCCTACCCCTGCTTTAATGATAGTTGCAATGGCATTGTCAATGGTAGCGTACTGTAGGGAAAACTCCTCTGAAGGGATCAGCGAGTTCAGACTTGGAATTGCTGAGGTATGGGGTGCTGACAGGTCAATGATTAATCTTTGTTTCATGGAGTTTTTTCCTGTGACAATACTGATAGGGTTTGTCCTCCATGCAGTAAATGGTGGGGACTGGAAAGGGCCTAACAGGAAACCCTCAGCAATTTCTTGTGCTATGAGTGTGTCTTCAGCTGCAGGTTTCTTCGTTGCTGACTGCAGCTTATGGCATTCTAGGTTACCTGAAGACATGTGTATAATACCTGTATAAAAAAACCTTCAGAAAAACTCGAAACTAGGAAATCTACAAAATTTCTCGAATGATGTATAGATAGTAATGCTGATGAAGTAGTAACATTGATAGACAGAAAATAAGGTTTAGGGTATAGTTTATTGGGGCACGTGGTTTTTGCATGTGCCCGGAAGCATTTTGAACAGATATGCAGCAGCCTGCATGCGCTTTAGCTACACATACAGGCATTGAAATTATTGCATATTTGAGATTTTCCTAGGAAGACAATGGGATGACCTAACTTGTTCTTTGCAGTTTTCTCTGTTCTACCAGAGGTGCTACGACCAGGAGCATTGGGAGAATCCTCAACTGTATTGGGACAAAAATTAGTTGTATGGCGGAGGATGAGCAGGATGCAGAAGCTGGCGTCTTAAGACCTGCAAAGTATCTGCAGAAAATTTCCATATCTAGTTTACTCCAGTTTGTCCTAATTTCAAACTGAGAGAGAGCTGGAGACACTTTATCTTAAAATGACCTATGATAATCATAGAAAGCCATACCTTCATATTTGTTGTCTAGATTTACCAGCTTGTGCATGTACAAATCAAACTCTTCTCTTCTATTTGGGTAGACAGAGCATACCACAACCCTATATATACCAAAGGCTAAGACAAATTTAGGGATGGGCAGTTTCCTGTTTAATCTGGAGTCCCTAGCTTTAATCACAACTGATAAATCTCCATATGCGTAAGTCTTGTTCTCTACAACATCCTGGGAGGCAATTAGGAGTAATGCCAGGTTAACATCTTTACCTTCCAGGATATCTTTTTTAAGGTGAGCCGGGATCATATGAGCTGGATTAGCGTCTTGTAAATTTGAAGTAGTCAGTGAACTACCTAGGTGAGTCTCGGTAGTGACTGATTGAACTGCAGTGGAACACCCGGATGTTGTCAGAGCGAGAGTGACCGATTCTAGTTTCTCCAATCTGTCATTAATTTTCCCCATGGAGGCCATGAGTGATGACAACATGAAGTGAATATCCGCTGAATTAGAACAGCTTGGACCTTCCCCTGCATCCACATTCTCTATAGATGTGCGTAATAGTCCGAAAAATTCTGCTTTCCTAGAGGTAGCTGGGTACGGAATTGTGACAAACTGCCCTTTGTCACTGGGTTTTCATGTGACAAACTGCCCTTTGCCCCTGGCTTCTGGAGGAGCCTGAGTACCAGCCTCCTACCTTATGACTAAGGCCCTTAAAAACATTATTTTGGCATATTGGATTTTAAAGCACTTTTTCTTTCCCTTTAAATCCATGGAAAAATGTGCCTCTTCCCCTCCCCCTGTTTCCTATCCTATTGTTCTCCAGCAGGGCGTTGTCCCAGGGACACTGCCAGACCAGTTGAAACTGGTTGCTTTTTCCCTCCTCAATCTCTCATCAGCCCTTGCTATTGTTTAACCACAAGGCGTTCTAACGGTATTTGTAAGATCTGAGCGCTTTTCGGACATATTGAACGCTCAGATCCAAGCTATATGGGGATATGTTGGACATATAGGTTAAATATTGTATTATATGAGTTTTGTATTTTTATATGGTTTGTAACAGTTTTTACTTAGAGATAGTCCCTGTACCTGGAGATAATTAAGCTACCACACCCGCTTAAGGCAATTATCTCCAGAACAGCCTAAATCTGTGGAACTGTTTTGGGCAGGAAAGCCATTCTTGCAGTCGGTCAAATATGACTTCCACCTATCTTTTGAACCACTGGCCCTATTTGTATGATTTAACATATGTTTGTATACTGGTTAGGCTGGTTCAGAATATGTGATTTTTATGGGAATTGTATGTATAGTTTGGAAGTTATGAATATTGTATAAAACTGTATATGTTCCTGCCTGTGATAACCAAGTTAACCCATTGTGTTTAGTAATTATATCACAGGCAGAGGGGAGGGTTTGTGTGCCTTGGCTGGGAGTGTCTGACTGTACTGTAATGTTTTGATTGGCTATTGTAACTGCATGTCCTGTGTACCACAAGGTCCACATGGGTGGTAACCCTGTGGAAAAAACCTGCATAAAAGAAAGCCCTTTGCTGCTCATTAAACAGTTCTACTTTGACCCTCAACTCGCAGCTTTGACTCATGTTTGGAGGGGACAGCTATAATCACTACAAGAATATCTATGCTCTTCATACTCCCTTAGCTACTGAGCTCTTGTAAGAGCTCTTGTTTCTGATCCTGCTTCGCTCTACAGAAGGAAGAGGTTCACCCACTGGAACCTGGACATAGGTCCAGGGTGGATAGCAGACAGCAAGATCCAAGCAGCGGTGGTTCATGGAGTCTGCAGTACTTATGGTGTATACAGTGCTGATGGTTCTTTGGTGAGCGCTAGGAGCATCCTTTCTATGGTCCAACTTTCAGCTAGCCTGTAGGCAACCGTAACAGGAATCTGTTATTTCCTGAGCTCAGTAGTAATGTGGGGGATAGTCCAGGATCTGATAGATGATGGGCTTGCCATGTCTCCTCTACGTGAAGGTGTACCAGATCTAGCCGGAGTGCTGGGCACTTATTTTCGGCACTTCCGTGCGTTCCAAAAACATAGCACTTCCGGTTTTTGGAACGCACGGAAGTGCCGAAAATAACCGGAGAATTACAGAAATGATGGAGATCAACTGTGAACACCTGGGAATAAGATCTTCAACAGATGAAACTCATCTACACAGGACCAATGAGGAAGGACAGAGAGGCACATGTGACTAATTACATTTAGGGATTAGCCCTATTTAAAGGACTTGAGGGTGGAGGGATGTTAGGCTGTTTTTGTGATTGTACTGCATTGATTGTTATTTTAATATTGTGGTCCCTGAGGAAGTCCCATATTTTTGTAGAAGGGACGAAACGCGTAGGACCTTTATTTGTATTTATTTTATATTTTTATACAATTAAAGCCGCTTTTTCATATCTTCACCTGGAGTCCTGCATTTTGAGTGGAAGTGTCCAGGGGATTTCTCTAGCCCCCCATATCATCAGGGGTGGCACCATATATGCCTGAACTGTCCAATATCCTGTGAGTGCATTTTATATTGCGCAGTGTTACTATTGTAAAACTGTATTACACTATACTTCTTTTTATTTATCTTCATTTAGATAATCAGCAGGTTCCCTCATTGTGTTTTGTATATGGCCCTGCTAGATGCCTAGCAGCTTGAGATGTTCTATCTATGCGTTGGCGAGGGGATTTCATTGCCACCTAAACATTGTGGCGAGGTGTCAGCCTATCGGTGACTTTAACAGTCTAAGATTGAATGGGAGTGACAGGTGAGGCCCTCTCTATGTTACTATGTGAGGAAGCAAACTATGATTTGGCCCGATGGGCGTATATCTCCGGGAATGAGGATGGGTGTTGGCCTCGCGGGACCACTAACATAAGGCATGGAGGCTGTAGAACTAAATTACCTATCAAAGAAAGAAAAGAGAGACTGCAGTGTTGGAATAACCAGCACCGATGTCTCACAGAGGCTACGAAGGTACCTATGGGCATGAACCCTAAGAATATGTATCAACAAAAGGAAAATAAGGTGGGATGGGAGGTCCGTCCACCTAAAGTGGATGAGCCCCCACTCCACTTAAAGGTACTTCCTAGAGTAAGCCCATGAGCTGAATATATAAATGAAAAAATAATAATATTAATGTGCAAACCTAACATAAGTGAGACAATAATGAAAACCCAGTGATAATACACCTTTAAAATCTGGGTAGAGTTGTCCTGAATAGCCACATGGAGTACTAAGATGGCTATTGTAACAGATCGCCTGGCACCCCGAATGGGTACCTCCGTTGAAGGATGCTCCTAGCGCTTACAGAGGGCTCCAAGCGCTCCACAGACACCACAACCACCGCAGACCCCACGAACCGCCGCAGCTTGGTTGGGGTCTCGCCGTCTCCTACCCACCCTGGACCTACGGCAAGGCTCCAGTGGGTAAACCTCTCCTCCAAGAGAGGGAAACAGAGGGAAACAGACATGATTTGGGCATAATGGATTTGTGTTGTGCTGCTGCTGGCCCTTTAAGAACCATCTGGGGACATACTGTGGAGTTACTGGGTGGCCACCATTTCCTGTATCAGAGGCACATGGTGAGAACAATGGATGGAGCACATGGTGAGAACAATGGATGGCGACCATTTTAACTCACAGACACTGTTTGGACTTTTCAACACGGTGCCATCTCGCCAGTATTTGGTGCACAGAGACATCGTGCAGTGGTTTTGGACTATACAACAGGGGACACCTTATACAGTAATTGTTTTTCATTTAGCCTGTATATGTTCTGCAGAATCTGCATTAAACTGTATCCTCCAAAGTACTGAACGGATCTGGGTGAATTTTGGATATGTGGTTCACATATGGGGTTATTGCATGTTTTGGGGTCCCTGTGATGTGTTTTATGAAACTAGTACTATCGAGTAGCTTATACTAAAGAGAAAAGGAGCTAATACCCCATAAATGTAGCTCCTTTTCTCTTTAGTATAAGCTACTCGATATTAGTTTGGGCGTGCCCCATTAGTTGCTATTAACCCTGCCCTTTCCAGATTCTCTCAGACACTGCTCTATCCTTTTTCTATCCAATTACCCAGTTGGGTCCTTTCCTAGAATGGATTTAGACTAACCTGATTTGTTACCCATTTATTATTTTAGGTGTATTTTTACACCTTTATTAAGTAAAACATACCTTGCAGGATTAGCCTCTCCCAGGCTTTTATAAGTTTGGTGGTTAACTTATAATCAATACACTATTTACATATTTGGACTATATACCATTTTAGCATTTTTTTTTTTTTATAAAGGTTGTTTATCCTCTTCTATGTGACTATTTACATTATGAGGTACTTTGAATGAGGCTAGGCATTCCACCCACTTTTTTGTGAGTGGACTATCTGCCCCATTTTTCATCTCTTTTTTTCTATAATCCTGTTCTAGTTCCCACTCTCGGTTGGCAAGAAAAGATAGATCTGGCTGAATGGCATCGATCTCCGTAAGGTCCCAGTTGTCTGTCCGCTCAGCTCGGATGGACCAGAAGCGAGCAATGTCGGTGTCACCGAACCAGAGACTAGTTTCAATAGTATCCCACAACAAACCAGGGCCATCGTAGTCTTCCCCCTCAATACACTTGTACTCAATCAGCCATGGGTAGAGATGGTAAACATGCCACCGCAGGGCCCGATAGGAATCATCCAGCCACACCTCAGTCTCAACTAGCATCTCCAGTTCGCTTACCCATTCCTCTGAGGGCAGGTTTCCCAATAACGGCATCCGCAGCTCTAGTTGTTCTGCTTGGCGCTGGTTAGTGGTCAGGATTTCCTCGCACCGGAAGGGTCGAATTTCGTCGATGTCCTCCTTCCAGAGATCTGTACAAAGTGCCACCCTCCACTCTGTCTCTCTTTCCTCTGGGTTAGGATACTCCATACTGTGCATCACATCCTGTAGTCGTTGCTGGAGCCTGGCGTCAAAGTGAGATACTGCACGGCCTTCCATCTCTGAAGTAGTGCTGGTTTTCCCAAGGCTAGGAAGCCATCCCACCGCTTGCCACCAATGTAACGGATCACCTGGTACCCCGACTGGGTACCTCCGTTGAAGGATGCTCCTAACGCTTCCTGAGGACTCCAAGCACTGCAGCAGACACCACAACCACCGAACCGGAGAAGCATTGAATGCTCTCAAGCATATGAATGTTGTATACAGCCGAATAGGAAAAACCATGCGAATAGGTTTACACTCCTAACAGTCAAACTGGAACAGCATACAGTGTTTAATTCGTGCTGTTGGAGCATGCTGGAGGTCTTAGCGGTACTTGGTTAGTCGAATGCCCGGTTTGAGTTCCAGATGTTCGACGACTAACTACCGCTGTTCGTGCGTAAGATGGCCGCCGCCACGTGTTCGTTAGGCGAAATGGCGGCCACACATACAGGTACTTAATTCCCTTTGCAACGTTGTATCGTTCAGCTAATTGGAGACACACGACCACCCCGGGGTGATCTCCCGTTCGGTAGTTTTGGGCATTCGCATAAATAACAGTAAAATAACATTAAAGTCCGTTCGTGCAAGTATTCCCTTGGTTTAGCACCCATTCGCACAGAATAATTAGTCCAAGTGGCAGGGTTTGCCACAGGCCAGAAACAGTAATATAAGCCTCCAGTATCCCCACACCAGTTCCTAAAAGGGCAATACATCCCAGGGCCATAGTCGCAGAGCAGGAGGCTGGCAAACAGGCCTCTCCAAAAACCAGTGGCGAGGTTACTTTCACCACAGCTATATGTCCTCAAAATGGGTTCATAGATAAATAGATGCCTCTAAAGTACCGGTATATGAGTAATTGGTGACTAAAGTGTATAGAGACTTTATAGGGTTAAATCATTTCTAAAGGGTACAAAGGCTGTAATGATGAAAGCACTTGGAGGCAACAGCAACTAGTAATTGTATAACAGATTAGCACAGTACATATACACCCTGTTCCAAATTATTATGCAAATTCTATTTAAGTGTCACAAAGATTAAATATTTTGTTTTTCAGTTTAACTCATGGATGGCATTGTGTCTCAGGGTTCTTTTCATCACTGAAAACAATCTCGGACACCTGTCATAATTGGATTGCCAGTTGAGCTCTATTTAAGGGAAAACTACTAAAGGAGGGTGTTCCACATTATTAAGCAGAGCCCCAATTTCATGCAATATGGGGAAGAAAAGGGATCTCTCTGCTGCCGAAAAGAGTGAAAATGTTAAATGCCTTGGACGAGGTATGAAAACATTAGATATTTCACGAAAACTTAAGAGTGATCATCGCACTATTAAAAGATTTGTGGCTGATTCGGAGCACAGATGGGTTCATGCAGATAAAGGCACATTGAGGAAGATTTCTGCCAGATCCATGCATGAGATCAAGAGAGCAGTTGCTAAAATACCATTACATAACAGCAAACAGATATTTGAAGCTGCTGGTGCCTCTGGAGTCCCACGGACATCAAGAGTTTTGCAACTGTGCATAAACCTTCTACTCGGCCACCACTAACCAATGCTCACAAGCAGAAACAGCTGCATTGGGCAGAAAAATACATGAAGACTAATCCTGTTCACTGATGAGTGTCCTGCAACCCTGGATGGTCCAGATGGATGGAGTAGTGGATGGTTGGCGGACGATCACCCTGTTCCAACAAGGCTGCGACATTAGCAAGGCGGTGGTGAAGTCATGTTTTGGGCCGGAATCATGGGAAGAGAGCTGGTCGGCCCCTTTAGGGTCCCCGAAGGTGTAAAGATGTCATGCTGCAAAGAATACCTCTGCGTTAATGGCTACTATGGGGATAAAAGGAGAGAAAGTCATGGTGTGGCCTCCATCCTCCCCTGACCTCAATCCTATTGAGAACCTTTGGAGCATCCTCAAGCAAAAGGGTGGGAGGCAGTTTACATCCAAACAGCAGCTCTGGGAGGCTATTCTGACATCTTGCAAACAAATTCAAGCAGAAACTGTCCAAAAACTCACAAGTTCAATGGATGCAAGACTTGTGAAGCTGCTATCAAATAAGGGTTCCTTTGTTAAAATGTAACGTTACCTGTTAAAATGTTTAAAAAGTTAAAATGTTGTTATAGGTTTG